TGGATATAGCTCGCTAGCAGCCTCGCACCGAGGACCTATCCATGTCATTTACCCAGAATGCTTTGCATGTAAATAAAATGGCCCCATCCATGTAATATATTTTTAAACCTTTAGTTTAAAAGTGATAAAAACTAAACAGCCTACAGTATTTTTACAGTGTTTTTTACAGTTAAAATATATGTTTATCAAATAAAGTTTAATGTTACAACTAATCCTGGAATCTGATTGAAATACAGATACTTTTTCAATTCTGTAATTAAACAGGGTGCCAAGAGTCAAACGCTCAGATAGCTGGTCTTTTCACAGACAGTTCCAGAGTCTGAAAGACGTCTTTACGTTACCATGGCTACACAAATGCCACTCTATAGAGCACTTAGGATAACCATCATAATTCCTGTGATTACAGCTGTTGCAGGCTCGTCGTCCTGTATTAGTTTACCGTGAATATGAACAGTGAAATCGCCTCGGCCAGAAATGATTTTTGCAATAATCTGCACTTGGCTGCTCTTGTATCTCTGTACGTCTTTGACATGTTGCAGGGCTTGCTGCTGCTGCTGCTGCTGCCGCCTCACTGACGAAATGTGCTCTCGTTAATTTGTTTAATTCACTGAAAGCGCATCTTAAATTACCCAACTGCGATTTAGAAAATATGGAAAAGAAGAATCCGTCTGGGGTTCTTGAGTGTTACAAATTGGACAATATACCAGTCATGGGGAAAAAAAGGTCCTTACACTCAAGGGTTTGACATATCAGGATGTAATTATAGAGACCTGGTCATAAAATTATTCACATCATACTTCAGATGTACAAAAATACACAAGAGACTCCACCCTGTCATTATTCATTAAACTAAAATGAAGCCAGAAGGGAAAAGGTGTTTGTCAAACTGCAAAAACAGGCTGAAAGAAATCAGAAAGAAGCAGCTATTTAATCAGGTAAAGGTCAAAGGTTGTTTCCAAACAACTTAAGATGCCAATCTTTTTAGTTTTAGAATTGTAATTGTCCCAGCAAATTCACCCCAAGGTCCGACTGCAATGCTCAGAGAAAATCTGACTGCTTCATCTCTGASTCTTCAGGCCTCAGTTAGTTGAATAAAGGTTATTACTGTACTGTTAGGAAAAAAAGACAACAAATATGATTTATTTGTAAGGGTTGTCAGCAGCAAGTGTCTTCAGGAACTATTAAGGTTTTAAAATTTGCATCTGAAATGACRGTTGAGCTTTCAGTACAATGTCTTTTAAACAGATTAAACTAAAGTAGACATGTTTACCCACAGTGCACAGCATAATGGTTGGAGAAATACAAACACGTWTCATAACAATTRTCTAGTATGTAGGTGATGGCCTKCTGATCTGGGCTTGTTTTGCAGCTATGGGACCAGAGCACCTTRCCTGGATCCTCAGTTTAATAAAGTATCAAGTCCAGTGTGAGACCATCATACTGCTGAAGCTTTGGACCAAACCTGGGTTGTGATGAAGCAGGAGAGTGATCCCAAACACAGTAGAAAATCTACAACAGAACATCTGAGTCCAGTCAAGATTCATACTTTAACCTAGTGGTTCTCAAATCCAGCCCTCATGGCTCTCTGTCCTGCATGTTTTAGTTGTTTCCCTGCTCTTCAGTAGGTCTTTAAGTTCTGCAGAAGCCTSTCAATCACTCATTCATTTAAATCAGGTGTGTCAAAGCAGGGAAACAACTAAACCATGCAGGACAGTGGGTCATGAGGGCTGGATTTGAGAACCACTGCTTTAACCTGACCCACTCTGGGACCATGAGGGAGGGAATGGATTTCAGAAACTCGGCCTTCACAGCTCTCGAGTGAGAATTGAAAGTCGTGTTTTGTTTTGTTTTGTTTTTTTCTTCTGGTACCAGTTTCTAGTTTATTTCAACGTGTTAAGGCTTGAAAAATTTCAAAATGTTTTCACTTTTCCGTCACTCAAAATCTGTAACTGCAGAATGGAGCAGCGTTTTGACTAGAACGAGTGTGTGAGCAGCTGCACATTTGTTTTTCTATCAGAGCAAAGAGGAGAAAGTGCTTCATTGTGCTGCTACAGCACTCACACTGTATTTGCATGTGTGGTCCATCAACAAGGTGACATTTTGTTTTTTTCATTTAARTATAAAACATAAAAGAATCAATTCAGTTGAGTAAATGTCACATTTGTCTTTGCTGCGCTTGTTTCAATCTGATGTTCAGTTCATTCAGCGGTCGTCCACCTGATGAAAGGTTTTACTTTACTAAAAGCCCAGGAAACTCTTATTGTCATTTATTTTATATTTTAGTCAACAACCATAGTCATTTGTCAAATGGCTCTTTCTTTTTTTTCCACTTTGCAGTTCAGTTTGAAGTTTTAATAAATTTATTTTTGGACAGTTCTGATTTTGAGATGCAGATCTGTTATTACCACGCCTCTATTTAAAGCAAAGCAACAAAACTGAATGCACAAATTAGACAGAATGACCACGAACAGGTGCTGACAGYGATTCCCTTATTGTCACTTCAATGCATCATAGTTTAAAGATCAGTGAGTTTAGTAAATGTTGCTGTTCTTAGGCTACGTTCACACCGCTGATCTTAATGCTCAGTTCTGATTATTTTTTGTGTGTGTGCTCRTCCACGTTATAATTTAAATGCATCCTCTATCARACTCCAGTGTGAACAGTCTACAGTCCTGAAGCAGAAGATGTGATGTCACCCACAGCACACTGCGTTTGCAGAAATAAATATGGATGCTACATGTTAGCATGTGTGGATTGATTTTGCAGTTGTTTTATATAAAAGTTGGATGTCCATTCAGAGTGTAATCACATCATCAGATGTGTATCTGGTTTAGCACCACATATGGACCTGGCCCTGTCACTCTCAGACTGTGATTAAAAAGTCTGTTACGGGTCACACACGTGAGCAAAAAACATCACATTTTCGGGTCACTTTGGTCTGCAGTTCGACTGTAACTTAAGTTTAAAAATCAGCATTGATTTGTCAAATATCCCTGGGCAATTTTCTGACAAGCTGGCCCTGTGAAGGATTTTACACGTCCGAGACGAACAAAGCTCTGCGCCCGGGTCAGACAGAGTCCCACCTCTGTTGTTTTTCTGGATTGTGCAGTCATGCGCTCATCCAACCAATTTCACATGATGTGCGACCTTCACGCCTACACCGTGTTTGATGGCACGTTTGGGAAAGATAATCAACTTTCCACTGATTAAACCTTCCTGGAATCACTGATCCAATTTATCTCTGGCCTTATCTGAGCCAGAAGGATGAAATCCAGAGTCAGTAGTTAGGTTTTGGAGGAAGTTATATCAACRAAGGTAAAGGGGTTTTGTCTCTGACTTGCAAAGCCTCATGGGTCTTCTGAGGTATCCTGGCTTCCAGCTATCTAATCTTGTTTTATCTTTCTTCTCTCTTGAACTTTCACTAACCCTATTGACCTGTTGAACGTTCCTGTTTGTGTGTGCTGAGGAAATCCTGTCAGTCCCAGATCCAACTGGAGGTCCTCTCACTTCTTTTTTTTAATTTGTTTGCTTCCTCTCTCCTTAAATTGTGTTGCAGTGCCCACAGCCATGCCCAGCTCGTCCGATGGAGTGGATCACTACCTGGAGACGCCTGCTGATGAAAATGAACACGCTCACTTCCAGAAAGCTAAGGAGAGCCTGGAAGCCAAACACCGCGAGAGAATGTCCCAGGTGCTGAAACCGACTGAGGAAAAAACGGGAGTAAAGAAATGAATTAGTGGCCAACATTTAATGATTTTAATGTGTGTTGTGTATGACTCTCAGCTACTATCACATAAAATCAATTCATTTCTGTAAAATGAACCATAGCATTATTAAACTGGGTTGAGTTGGACAGTAATAAAAGGTGCATTTCAATAATAAATAGCATCTTTTCCTCTTTCACAACAGTTTGTTTCACTCTTTGGTTTGTTAGTTTAAGAGTAACTACAGGCACAGTATCTTATTTTCACACATTCCACTTCTCCCTAAAGGAAACAGTCATTAGCTTTGGTGAAGTGGAATTAAAAATAATCCATCCTGTGAGTCAGAGAGGGGTGAAATGAGGAAGGATGTGCGGTCACCGTTTCGTAAAGGATGCAACTTTAAAATAGGAAGAGCAAAAGCTGATTCTGTTGTTCCTTGTATTAGCCTTTAATGGCAACAATGCCCACATGTTGACATGTTTAGCTGAGGTTCTGTAGAAACGAGACAGCGGAAATATGATCAAACCTTGAATTAAAAGTTCTAACAAATGTTCCTGGTTGTCTCCAGGTGATGAAGGAGTGGGAAGAAGCAGAGAGGGAAGCCAAAAATCTTCCACGTGCCGACAAAAAGGCAGTTATTCAGGTATGACGAACACGTACAACAGAACATCATCCATGTATGTTAATAAGCCTTAAAACATTGTATCTTATTTATTTACTTACTTACTTTATTTTATTTTATTTTATTTTTTTTGTACATGCAGCGTTTCCAGGAGAAGGTGGAGGCGCTGGAGCAGGAGGCAGCCAGCGAACGCCAGCAGCTGGTGGAGACCCACATGGCCCGGGTGGAGGCTCTGCTCAACGACCGCCGCCGCCTGGCTTTGGAGAGCTACTTGACCTCTCTGCAGCAGGACCCACCCAGGGTACGACACACACACACGTCTGTATTCCTATCCTTATTAGGACCGTGTGTTGACTTCCAGTCATTTCGTTAGCCTGACCCTAACCCAGACTCATTCACACTTTAGTCCTAAACCTAAACCCTAACTGTACTGAGACCTGAAAAGTTAGATGTTTATACCAAAATGGTCCTAAAAGGTAATGAAAACCAGGTACACACAGAGTTCAGAAGCATTTTTCTGCTCTGGAATCGATACAAAACCCTGAAAACTGAACTAATCATTAAGAATCACACCTAAAATAAACAGAAYATTTATTGTTTAGATTTTCTTGACGGGGTTACTGATGTGTTTCAGTTTCTTTCCTCATTGCTGTTTAAAAGACTCCATGATCAAAATATTTTGTTTCCTTTTGAAGAAGTCCTTTTTGTTTGCAGCCTGCTGCATGAATAATTCCCATAGATGTTTTCTGGTCGGTTTGTTCTTGGCTACGTGCAGGTTGAACTAAATCAYCCTTCCATAAAAATCAGAGGACATTGTAGGTTTTATGACCTAGAATAATCAATGTATACAATCTTTTTTTGTTTTAGAAATGAAACAGACGTTTCTGACTTGGATCAGGTTTAACRTGTCGCCGCTCTTCTTCCTCTCAGCCCCATCACGTCTTCAGCCTGCTGAAGAAGTACGTCCGTGCTGAGCAGAAGGACCGGCAGCACACACTCAAACACTTTGAGCACGTTCGCATGGTGGATCCCAAGAAGGCGGCCCAGATTAGACCTCAGGTAAACATCGRTCACCCCTTTGTCTCGTTTCTGATTGAACATCTCTAAATAGTAGCGCCTTCACCTCAGCTGGGGGAGTTCAAGTATCTGAGCATCTTGTTCTAAAGTGATGGTCTCATCCTCAGTAATGAGGGCGTTACGTCAGTCAGTCATGGTGAAGAAAGAGTTGAGTCGAAAGGCAAAGCTCTGGATTTACTGGTTTATGTTCTAACGCTCAGTTGTGGTCATGAGGCTGGATCATCAACACAAACGGCTGGAATGAGCTTCTTGGTGAAATAATGGACTCTGATGAACAGTGCAGTTCATGAAAGCTCACACCTTTTATAACGTTTATATCCTAGGTGCTCACCCATCTGCGTGTCATCGAGGAGCGCATGAACCAGTCTCTGGGACTCCTCTACAAAGTGCCAGGTGTAGCCGATGACATCCAGGACCAAGTTGGTGAGTTTATTGTTCCAGGGAACAAATGTCTACTTAGCTTTTTTATTTTTAAAGACGAATGATTCCAACTTCCAAAAATCTCAAGGTCAGATCAGGACAGGCCCCCAGTTGATGTCACGACCTGGCTTAAAACCATGAAATGAGGATTTCTCATGCTAGTTAGAAAGGTCAGACTTTTATTATTAAATTCYAGGATTCTTCGGTCAGTTAACACAAACTGCTGCAGCATCGGAGGTGTTGTTAAAAAATCCAAATAAACCTGGTGAAACCACAGAAATGAAGCGGTGGCGTGATGGGAGGAGGTTTCAAACTTGACCGCAGTTAACCGTAAGAGAAACTTAAACTTTAAATCATTTTATGAAACATAAACCACACCTTGTAGCTGTGTAAGAAAATCTCTAAAGCTGGATGTGGTTGCTGACCTAAATGTGAGGTAGATGGTGTGAAAAACTCCGTGCCTGGGTTGGGTTTTGTGCATCTGAGAGATTAAATGCTCTGAATTCCAGCCGAGTCTTTTTTTTTTTTTTTTTTTTGATAAGGACATTGGAGCCGTTTGGCCTAATTCTTTTGTCCTGAGTCAAATGAAACTGTTTGCTGGGAAGATAAATCCCCTTCCCTCTTTCTCCCATTTTTTCTCTCTCTCTCTCTCTTCCTCTTTGCAAGGTTTCTGTGGGTTTTTTGAGTTTATCAGAGTCACATGCRTCACCCAGCCATCTGCGTCTGTGTCCCAGAGACCGTCACGTTCTGCKCTGCCCAACAAAACACAAACAAAACACCTTCAGTCTTTTTGTTGTGTCTATTTAAAGCCGCTTTTTCTGAAATAGAAACATTTGTTTATGCTCGAACGCATCAAACCTTCTAATTAAACTGAATTATTTAATCTTCTCAGCTTGGAGCTTTTTTTAAAAAAAATAAAATCAGATAATTTGAATAAATCAATGTGAAAGCTCTTTTCTTTCTTTTCCTTCCTGCAGAGCTCCTGCAGCGAGAGCAGGCAGAGATGGCCCAGCAATTGGCCAACCTGCAGTCAGACGTGAGGGTGAGCTACGGGAACGACGCCCTGATGCCCGACCAGGAGCTGGGGGACGGTCTGACCGACTTCCTGCCCCAGGAGGACACGCTGGGAGGAGTGGGCTTCATCCACCCTGAGAGCTTCAACCAGGGTACCTAACCGGAGCACATTAAAAAAACAAACAGCTCCACTTTTCTCTTTTGTTTGTTTGTTTTAACCCTTTTGAAGAAATTTATTGGGATTGTTTACTACTGACWTTTAAAGACTACACATTGTATAGTCTATTAGGTGGACAGTAATRTATTTYTATAATGTGGTTATCTCTGATTGARTTGATGATTTTATGTGCAGACTGGGTTGTGGGACTCTTGATCAGGGTTTCACAGACTCAGGAGGCTTTTAGTTAAATACATGTCTGATTTAAAACAACACATATAAGAACTGTGATGTTATTAAMCATTAGCRTGAGGAATAATGTCTGACATTTTGACTCCGTATAGAGACAGCCTGCCCCTTTTAACATATGTCATGAGGCGGAGTCAGGACGCGAAGAACTTTGTTTCYGGATGTGTTTCCTGGTTCAGGGCACTGTTTAGCTAATGCCTGTCAGAGGCAGATTAAAACAAAAGCTAATTAGTCCACAGCTGTGTCCGGATGGTCTCGTATGGCTCACTCAAACATTCACGTGTCGTTATTATTAACTGGTGTTAGATCTGAACAGGTAACGGGTAATGAATATTGCTTATGTTTTAACACTTTTTGTTTTTTCTTCACCAGTTGAGCTGATGGACACTCGTCCCAATCTTGACAGAGGAGTTCCCACACGGCCAGGTTAGTTCAGGCAGTTAACCGAAGTTTTGTATTTATTGTTTTTATTTTTATTTGGAATGTCAGACCTGGCCTGCATGTTGTTTCAGTTGGAAATCCGTCTTTGGAAGAGGCGTTTTTGGCTTGAATGTTAATTTTGAACAATGTCTGACGTTCAGCCCTTTTAAATTCAACCGGAGCGTGCTGACAGAGGAGAACTTAGAAACAACTCAGCTGAAAATGTGGATGGAGGACAGCAGAGCTGCAAGGCGTTAACTCTATATTGGAAGGGGCAGGCTATCAATGTAAATAATTTATCATGMGTACAGGATGATATTTAAATGCATAGAATTGCACATAAATTAGTTTTTTATTGGTTAGCCTCTGCCTTTTGGAAACATCATTCATTTCAGACGTGTTTTTACCTGATGTGATTTAATATGTACTGAAAAGTGTTTATACAGTGGGGAGATCAAGTATTTGATACACTGTTGATTTTTCAGGTTTTCCCACTTGCAAAGCTTGTAGAAGACTGTAATTTTTATCATACAGTTGTGGTGAAAAGTTKACATACACTTGTAAAGAAACATAATGTTATGGCTGTCTTGAGTTTTCAATAAGTTCTACAACTCTTATTTTTCTGTGATAGAGTGATCGGAACACATACATGTTTGTCACAAAAAACAGTCATAAAATTTGGTTCTTTCATAAATTTATTATGGGTCTGCTGAAAAT